AGGGGTACATGGGCGGAGCCCTCCTTTAGTCCTCCTACCCCTGGTGCATCTACTAGACCCTTGTACTGCTATGCAGGATAGCGCTAGGGATCAAAAAATCCATACTCTGCTTACGGAGTTGGTATGCTTAATTTCAGTCTACCCATAACTTTAGCCTGCATAACAGTGCAAGGGGCATCTAGGGTGCAGGAAGATGTAGGAGGGTGCAGGAGTGCAGGCATGCAGGTGCAAAAGGAGGGAGCCATAACTCCTTCTTTTTCCCCCTGTTTTCCTCTACCCCAGTACACCTAGGCCCCATTCCCCTTGTTCTCATATACAAAATTACATTTGTACGGAAATTCGAGAACAATGTCAAAACGTTTTGGTGACCGTAACACAATCTAAAACAATTTATGCCCTGTGACAGCTAGCTCCGAAAAGGTGAATTAAAAAAAAAGGCTAAAAAAAACCTATACCAGTACTAGCACCTTCACTTGAGTGGAAATTTGACAAATTTACATAGAATTGTATGACTGGGAGTAGGGTGTAGACATCAGTTGATTTGTCCAAATCAGTTACTGGTATGTTAAATTGTCTTGGTCAATATACACCTGACATAATGAATAGACTTTACTAAAATAATGGTGCTTTTTGGAATAATAGGTTTTTCACTTCTTTTATATTTAACTTATATCTTTTATATTTAACTTATATTTATTATATTATATTATTATATTTAATTTTTAAAAAACTAAAATTATGATAAATGATTGAAGTTTGCCTAATTTTCTTGTAGATACCCTTAAAATTCAACACAAGGCTCATCAAGCAAAGGTACATAGAGCATGTGGGTTTCAAAGTATCACTCATAAGAAAAGGGATATAAAGCCCCATATGTGTAATGGACCACTCACTATTTAAGGGTGGTAAGATTAATGAAAATCAATAGGACTATCCCAAATTTAAATTAAAGGTTAGAGTGGGTAAGGTATAGATGTGAGTTTTGGAAAATGTAAAATGTTTGCTATCCACTTCAAGTAAGTTTTTTGGGTGGGATAGGGGGGTTGGGGGTTGGAGATTGTTGTTTATATTTTCAGCAACTAAGAAGAGAAAGCAAAAAAAAAAAAAAAAAAAAACTAAAATTATCAATCTCTTACCAATAGCCCCCCACTTGTTTTCCTTTTGCATAGTAGCTTCTTATATTTTCAATTCTTAGTTGGTCCTCCACTTTTTTCCCTTTTGTGTACTTGTCTCTTTTGTCTTCCAATCATAACTCCCCACTTTTTAGGGTGCACTGACTGCTGCCTAGCTTTCTTTTCATTTTTTCCATCCAGYACCCTGCAACTCCATTGTTATACTAAATGTGCTTATAATGAATAGTTAAGTGGTTATTATGGGTAATGTGAGATGGTATTTTTTTTTGGAACACTATGCCCTTGTCAAAATTAATTTCTAACTAAATTTGCTAAATGATACCATTTTAGACAAATGATCCAATTATACGAACAGACAATGATGAAAAMCTTATCTTAAAAGAGGATTTGACCCTGAAAGATAATGGTGTTGGTAAGYGCAAGGACATGTCTTTTCATTGTTTTATTATAATAGTGCCATAATTATATTCTGATGCATTTTTATTCACTTTGCCATTTTATCATTTTCGTTCATATTTTTATTGCAGAGCATGAGACAGAACTATCATTTTTCAAGAAAGAGGACTATCTAAAATACAAAGCTAACCCAGTATTGTTATGGTAGACAGATAGCACRTTTTAATATCAAATTTTCAAGATATGGATCTGTGCTTCATGCCAATTCAATGCAAAAATTCTCACCTTTGCTAAAGAAAAACATAAATAAATCATAATAATTTCTTATTTAAGTGCCATCCCCAATTAAATGCCTCCCTCAAATAATCTCCAAATCTAATAAGACCAAAGTCATTAATAAGCGCTGCCCCGAATAAGTGTCTCCCCTGAATTAAAGCCATATATGAAACCCCCAATTAATAAGCTCCATGGCACTTAAATAAATACGTGAGTTGCTGTGTATTTTTTAAACGTTTGTATTTAATTATTGCTACAGGTTATGTATATGGTAGACACATAGCAAGCGCTGTCCTCAAACAAGTGCAGTCCCCGAATTAGCWTTGCATTACAAAACAGTAATTACAGTATAACAAAAATAAATGATTTTTCTATAGATTACTTTTTATATTTCTGTGACCAAGACAAACTAGTAAAATAGACCTATCCCGAATTAGCCTGACTGGTCACTAAACAATGGTTTCAAGTCGAGGTTGAACTTGATGAACAAGATAATCAAGTCCAGTCTTGGCTTCAAACCATTGTTTTGTGGTCAGTCAAGCAAGGGATAGGTCTATTATAGCTTAAAACAATGTGAATAGGACCTCGGGTACAAGTAGTACATGTGAGGATCCAAGGTGTGGTCACAGGGAATTGGTTGTTTAGTATAAACATGACATATTGTTAATTGCTAAAACGGTGCATCTTCTTGATTTAGTGACCACCCCCCCCCCCCCCCCCCCTACTCAAAATCCTAGATCTGCCCATGGATTAATTCCCATAGTTAGTAGTGGACCAGCTATTAACTATGGTAATGCCCAAGGGCCTTTGATGGCAGGCTTCCTTTCTTCACGAAAATCAAACTACCTTTTGGTGTATCCATGAGTAAAAAGAGGAAGTTTTGCTTTGGGAAGGGGAACAAGGAGTTTTTACTTTTCAAAATATCATTTGAAATTAATTCAAACTTACAGTGCGACTAATCCAACCAAAGCAACCTCGACAAATTTTCTACAAATTAGCCAATCAAAATTAGGAATCTGAACAATAGAAATGCTACAAATTGGACAAATATCCATGGGTTTACACGGCTGAGAAGACTGCCGGCACCTTTGTTGTTGAGCATAAACGTGCTGTCGCAAAGCAACATGGTGATAAAGTCTAACAGTGTCAGCCTGATAATATCTTTGTCTGGAAGAAACAAACTGTAATCATAAAGACTGTGTTTTATACGGTCTCTAACTTGCTTTCCTGTCATATTTGAAGTCGTACATTACTATTTTTCTATATCTTTGGTGACACAAATCACTAATTTGCGAAGAAAATATATTACAAGCTCTTCTTCATCATTTAGTTTTACCAACCGAAACAACGGAAGAATATCTAAATTCAAAATTTGCTGCTAAACTATTGTCTAAATACTCAAAAACTATTGGATAATTTGTAGAAAATTTGTTGATGGGGCTTTGGTTGCAATATATTAGTCGCACTGTAGTCCTTCTCATCCGTCTGAGATTGTTGATACAAGTCTGCTTTTMCTCGATCCACGATCCCGAGTTCTTCCGTCCGTTCCAGCCAGTCTTCATTTATGCACCAGTCTTCGCGCGTTCATAACTTCCAATATGGCGGCTTATTTGAGTTTGTGAGTTGCAAGGAAACACATTTGTCATGATCAAACGGAGAAAATGAAAGGCCAAAAGAGTAGGACGAGGACTCAGAATCTTAAAGATGAAAAAATAACCTCTGATGATATACTGGAAGCATTAGATATTGTACGTGGTCGTTTGTTCAGGGGTGATGTACCACACCATCTGCATGGACTTGATGACAGTGCCTCGTGAGTCTTCCACATTTAGTTACATCAAAATTAAAGTTTTCCTTCTCTTTCTCCTAAAAGATATCAATCCATTTGACATTTTTCTTCAGGCAACTTAAAAGTCTAATTAGCAGGTGCGCAGAGTACGGYGAAAGCAATTCTGTTCTGTTGGTGGGTCCAAGAGGAAGTGGAAAGTCTTTGGTAAGACTTTTAAAGCTTTAAAGAATTATTTGAGGAAATATTATAATAATTAGTAATTGAACTAAATTTGTATTTTTTTATTAATTTTAAGAGATTCTTAAAAAGGGGCTTTGAATTTTGGAATTGCACATTTTATTYAATGGTTCTCAACAAAGAAATCAACTCCCTGCCTCAGATAGAATAGAATAGAATAGAATACCTTTATTTAAACACGATAAAATTTAAAGCTAAAAGCTTGTGGGGTCGTGCATAAAATAAATTAAATAAATAAAATATAATGTCATTAGTTATCAATAATTGACTGATTATTAGCATGTGTATCGCATGACACTTAAGTCTGGGAGGCTATCAGGCAGTTGCTGGCCACGCCCTTCTATGGAGGCAACCATGGCAACCAGGCCACAGCTTACTACTGCACCCAATACCCACCACACTGATCCATGCAGTGAAATATATACTCACTGCACACTACACATCATTTCTAATTCAATAAATAATATGTCAACAAACGTTTGTGTGAACTACCCAGGATGTATAATTTACATCTTTTTTAATATGTCATTGTTGGCAATTGCAAATATACTAACAAATCCAATTGTGGAAAATCAACTATGACATAATGCTGGGAGGAGTACTCCTATCAACTTCCAGTGTTAATATACGTACTGTTAGTAGTAATTATAATTCACTTTTATCTGCAGGTCTTAAAAACAGTAGTGGGTTCACTATGCAAGTCCAAAAGTGTGAAACAAAATATTATTCAGGTTTATTTGAATGGTACGCATCAACTTTGAATTTAAAATGTTAGTGATTTTTTCAATATTCAAAGGATAGACATGAAGATCSCATTGTCAGATAATATAACATATTATAATAAGTTTCTTATATAGTGCACCCCYATATAATCTCAGCATGCTTTCAATAAAAATGTACAAAATTACAATCATCTCTAAGATTAATGCATCATAACTGACTATTATCCCATTTTTGGCATGTAGGTCTTGTACATACTGATGACAGACTGGCTATGATGGACATAACAAGGCAGTTACAGCTGGAAAACACTGTTGGTGACCGAGTATTTGTATGTAAATTTATATGTTTTACCTGAAAATAATTTATTCCGCTGTAAAATAGGAGGGATTGAATGCTCAATATCTCCACAGAAAGTTTTTTGATTTTTCTTTATTTTCCAGGGGTCATCTGCAGAAAACCTTGCATTTTTGTTGGACTGTTTAAAGAGTGGTAAGGAAATTAATATGCCTTGGTAATAATCTTACAGTTATACTATAGATAAGGCAAGTGCTCATTGGTTTTGCTTTTTTTCTATATGGTAATAACTAAAGTTTACATTTTTCTCAGGTGGACATGAAAGTCTTTCCATTCTCTTTGTTTTGGATGAGTTTGACTTGTTCATCCATCACAAAAACCAGACATTGTTGTATAACCTGTTTGATGTCTCACAGTCAGCACAAACACCTATCTGTGTAGTTGGTTTGACTTGTAGATTGGTGAGTCTTTCATCTGAGTGAAATATTCTCTCGATCTTTAAGGACGTTCATGGGCATTGTTCTATGCATGAATTTAGTGTGTGCACTAAATTCATTGTGATGACGCCATTCCAATGTTTTCGTAAGCAAAATATCATGAAAATGTCTTTAATCTCTAAGTAACATTTCTAATTTTTAATACAAATTTTAAATGCTAATTGATCATTTGGTTATTTCTTAGAGTTCTGTGATAAACTGGGATGATCATTTTAATTTTTCAGTAAAATATGGCTTATTTTTGACAGCTTTCCATGTCTACGTTGTTCAAGTATTTTTACTGTAAAAAGGGTGAACTTCCACGCATACTGATGGTTAAAGGAATTCGATGAGCCCCATTTTTTTACTTATAGTATGATGTTCTATCCATAGTTAACTATAACTATGTTCTATCATCATGCAAAATGTTTTAAAAATCTGACGATAGGATCTTTTGCTTATGAAC